TTTTCATTTCGACGTTTTACTGTGATCCTTCCTAAAAATAATTTATGATAATTTCTAAACATAACACTATAACTATAACTATATATTTGTACTAAGCAGCATCCCACTCGATTGTAAAATTATCGTCTAACATTAGCTAGAACGCGTTTCGGTATTTTTGCACACTCTTCAATAATTCGCATTTTTAATGCTTCAATATCTGTAACTTTTTGGTCAGAATAGATTTTTAATTTTAGATGCCCCCAGATAAAATAATCGTTTGGAGCTAGACCTCCCGATCTCGGGGACTTAATATTACAGTCAGGTCCAATCCAACTATTATTAAAGCTGTTTTTAAGGAATTCCTTAACCTCCCATTTATTGTACGCATGTATCCATCCATTTGAAACCAAATTTCTTCTTCATCTGGAGCTATTTCTGCAAGTCTGGGTAAAATCTATTCTTGTAGCAAGTCTAAAAACTTTTTTGAATTTAAATTTTCCTCATAGAAAAATGGCCTAATAATATTGTGTCTAAATATTCCTAACCAAAAATTAATTTTTCGACGATATTGGGTATGTCTTTCAATAATATCCTCAGGCTTTCTTGTGGACCAAATCCTATAATTTTGAACATTTGGTTCTTAATGTGAAAATTTGGTATTTAATGTAAATTTAAGCTCTCTTTAAATTAGCTCTCTCTAAAATTCCGCTCGTCACTCAACAGCTCTTTCTCTTAGTTCTGGATGACATTCAAATTTATAAGTACGGAATTTATTCCTTTTCAAATTTTTTAAGGCCGTGTAATTATGAATATTAAACTGGTCCGAGAACTTATTTAAGGTGTTCTATAACTGCTGTTAAAACATTTATTTGATTTTGATTTTCTAAATTTCTTGTTACCTCAGCAATATTGTTTGTACAGGTAGAGTATGTTTAAACTGTCGTGGCGGAAATTTCTAGGAACAGTAAAGCCTCACCAAACAAATCAGTGGAGTTCTAAAAAATACTTATGATTTAAATCAAATTGTTAAAGATAGGTACACACAATTTATTAAACAATGATATTAGCTTACATTTTTGGCAGTATTGTACTACATTTTAATACATATTATTATAATATATCACATACATACAGAGTGACCCAAAAGTCTGGAAACGGCTAATTATCTCGTAAAATGCTAATCATAATTGTACAAAATTTGAGTTACACCTATTTTGGGATACGGAGATTCCATATTTGATATTTACAATGTTGTCATATTTGCCGTTTTTCTTATATTATTAGTAACTTTGGTTTTTCAAATACATCACCCTGTATATCCAGTCATTATTGGAATCTCCTATTCAATACGAGTTCAACCATATGTAACACTTATGGTTTTATGTAATCTGGAAGGTCATAAATACATAAAACCGAAGTCTGGCAACGCCTAAATTGTTTCAATAATTTTTTTAATACTAACTATTTTCAAATACATTAATACGTAACAATTGGTAGTTTAGAACATTTTTTAACATAGTAGTTACGTTATTAAGTGTTCAAACTGTGCTCAATTTGTAAGTTGACAGCACCCTAATCGATGGCGTCTACCATATTTCTCCATGATTGTCTAGAAATTATTCGAGATTCATTGATAATTCGTTGCCTTAGCTCTGCAAGACTTGCTGGTTAAGTTTTGTAAATTGAATTTTTCAAGTATCCCTAATAAAAATAATCTTTAGGATTGAAATCGGGTGAACGTGGACTCCATTCAATTCTACCTTGTCTACCGATTTATGGTCCAGGAAATATCTCATCTAAATATCGCCGAACATTTACACCAACTATCTGACGTTAAATTTCTTTCGGCAAAAAATGACCCAATTGAATAAGTAACTACTATATCTGACCATACATTTAATTTTTGTGGTCTTTGAGTATGGTTTTCACGCATTCAGTCTTCAGTGTGAATTTACGTCACACCAGTACCTTAAATTGTGTCGATTTACACTTCCACACAGTGTAAAAGTTGCTTCATCGGAAAAACATATTCTGTTAACGAAATTTTAGTAATTTTCAATTTTATCCATCATTACCTCAGTAAACTCTAATCTACGAGCAAAGTCATCTTCATTTAATTCTTGCAATAAGTTAATTTTCTATAATTTAAATTTATTTTTACGTAATAAACGTAAGCCTGAAGAATGACCTACATCATGTACTTGTGCAACCCTGCCTGGGGATGTATGTGGATCTTCAACAAAACTTTGCTTATATCTGAAGTTTTGTTATCATTGATAACTCGTTTCGGTCAACCTGATCGGTATCTATCTTTTACTTCTCCAGATTCCTCAAATCGCCTTACAGTTTTTTGTACCGTCGTCTTATGAATAGGAGAACGGTTTAGAGAACGGCATTTTAGAGAAGCAATTTAAATTGCAGAACTTTTTGAACCACAACTATCTGTCAATTTTAGTTCATAATTTAAATGGTGAACAAATGTCAAAATCACAGCATTCTCCATTTAAATATTTAAATTTATTAAAATCTACATATTTTACACTTTTTTTTATGTATTTAAGATCTTTCAGACTACATAAAATCAAGTGAACATATGGTTGAACTCGTATTGAATAGCTGAACTCGTGTGAAATTCACACTGAATGCGTGAAAACCATACTCAAAGACCACAAAAATTAAATGTATGGTCAGTTATAGTAGGTACTTATTTAATTAGGCCATTTTTTATCGAAAGAAATTTAACGTCAGATAGTTGGTGTAAATGTTCGGCGTTATTTAGATGAGATATTTCCCGGACGATAAATTGATAGACAAGGTAGAATTGAATGGCCTCCACGTTCACCCGATCTCAATCCTAAAGATTATTTTTATTAGAGATACTTGAAAAATTCAGTTTACAAAACTTAACCAGCAAGTCTTGCATAGCTAAGGCAATGAATTATCGATGAATCTCGAATAATTTCTAGACAATCATGGAGAAATGTGGTAGACGCATTCTACCATCGATTAGAGTGCTGTCAACTCACAAATGGAGGACATTTTGAACACTTAATAACGTAACTATTATGTTAAAAATATTCTAAACTATCAATTTTTACGTTTTAATGTATTTGAAAATAGTTAGTATTAAAAAATTTATTGAAACAATTTAGGCGTTGCCAGACTTCTGTTTTATGTATTTAAGACCTTCCAGACTACATAAAATCATAAGTGTTACATATGGTTGAACTCGTATTTAATAGGAGATTCCAATAATGGTTGAATATACAGGGTGATGCATTTGAAAAACCAAAGTTACTAGTAATATAAGAGAAACTGAAAATCTGGCAACATTTCAAATACCAAATGTGTGGAATCTCCGTATCCCAAAATAGGCGTATCTCAAATTTTATATAATTATGTCTAGTAATTTACGAGATAATTAGCCGTTTCCAGACTTTTGGGCCACTCTGTATATTGTCTGTATGTGAAACCATAGATACGTATTAAAAATTACAGTATTAATAAATATTCGTTACAAAGTTAAATAAAAGAATATAGAAATGATTGCAATAAAGTAAAAAAATAATACATACATACAGAACAGTTTGGAAAACTTATATTCACATTCACATAGGTTACATAGGTACATCGTAATGTTAAATTATATTATTCACTTTCATAATCAGATGCACTGTCGTCGTCACTAGAATCATCTAAATCAATCCTTAATCCTTCAGTAATTACATCTATGCGACGTTCACTTTCCAAATACTTATCTTCAACCTTGGCAACATGTTCAGAAACTTTTTTCCAGTTATCCCCAGTTAATCTAGCAAATTCATGTTCCACCAACACTTTTACTTTTTCTAACTTAAAATAAACGTTTTGTTTTGCAACTTTATTTTTTATTTGCGCCCAAACCATTTCTATCATCTTGTTGAATGATCCTTTTTACTGTACGTAAAGATACTCCAGTAGCTTCACTCACACGTTGTTTAATACTGGTTCGATTATTTTCAGAAAATAGTATTTGCATATATTTAAATACATTGTAAACTATTCCTTAGGATTCTGGTGTCGATCTGATGTGTTTACTCGTACTTCACTTAACCATCTCTATTCTACAAAATAGTTCTAATACGCGTGGTCGCACCTTTCTTGTTGAGACTCGACAACATAATGAGACTAAATTACAAACTCGTTTGAAATCGAGTGAGATTCTAGAGTGAGTTCCTAGAAATTCTCGGAAATAATTCTTATCAGTTCTTTGTATGTCCTATGAGTCGTTAAGGAGGCATTAATAATAACTTTATAGTTTTAAGTTTACTGATACTAAATTAGAAATTAGAGTATATAGTATAGATTCAATGAGATAGATAATATAAACGGATTCCTCTCTATGAGTGCATGAATTGCATTGATAACTCGACTACAAGTGTTCGAGTTTTTCTTAGAGTTTGCTGACGGAAAGTTTCCAACCAAATACTTATTTTATGCAAAGAACTACACACTTCTCGTCAGCGTTTGGTTTACAATGAATACCGGCTGTATCTAGACCACCCGCACTGAAGGAAGGCGTTACTTAAAATTTTACTAACTGCTCAGGGGAATATGCGTTGTTGTCACAAATCAATTCCTTAAATCAATGTTCTTTGTTAACTAATTAAGTAATTGATAGAATCGCTTAAAAAATAACAATTACATGGATGCTTTATTAGTTTTTTTTGGGGGAAATATTAATTTTCACTCTACAATGAACTTCAGTGGATTTAAATATTATTTTACACTCATGTACCCGATTAAAATTTTAGAAAAAAAAGATGTAATAGAGATATAGATATAACAGAGAAACACTGTTTAAAAGTCACACCTAATTGTTGGTAACTGCCTCTCACTTGTATTCAAACAATTAAGTGTTATTCTTATTCCACATACTAAATAACGTATACGGTAGTTAAAAAATTGCCGTACCATATATCTTTTTCATATCTATTGTTTCAGAAACGTTAATATTATACATAAAATTCATTTTTTAGATAATTAACATGCTGGGCTGGAAACCCCATCCAAAGCAACCAAAACCTTTAGAGAGAGGAACCGGAGAGGTTTCTCTGAAGGACCTTCACAGACTAGATGAAATCATTAAAGAGGTAAAATCAATTAAGATAGATGATGATGATAAACGTTGAGTTATATTATTATTTTTAAGAGGTTATCTATTTTAATAAATATTCTATTCCAAGTTTATTTTAATTATTTCCTTAATTAAATAAGCGATTAATATATAAGGGGACAAATAACTTATTCAGCAAGAGAAAACGGATTCAAAGATCCCACTATCCAAAACAAATAAAAAAATATTTTGGTCATTCATAAAATTATGCAGAAAGAGAAACAAGTTAATAAAGGACATGTAACAAACTAGATCATCTAAAATATATACGCCGTTGTATATTTAGTCACACAATAATAAACAATCAGAATGCCTACTCTGCTTAAAAAAAATAAGTACGCGCAGACGAAATCGGCCATGTTGTCGGAACCAGTGCTGTTCAGTGAAATTTTATCTGGTGTGCATAGACAAATTTACCCGGTTTAATTTATTTACGGCAACTACAGACATAATATGCACTATTTTGTTCGTACTTTTAGTCGAAGAATAGATTAAATTATTTCAAATGTACTAAATTATTAATCTCTAAAAATTTAAATTACAGTTTTGTCGTAGCTTGTCACAAATTTCTCAATTCGAGTCTATGTTTCCGTCTAAAACATGGCGTTCGCGTGCTGACAAACTTCAAAGGCGGCATCTGAGAGTGGGCATTCTGATTGTTTATTATTCTGTGATTTGGTAAAGTTATAAATTAAGACAAAAAAACCAAAACTGAGGAAAAAAATTGAAAACTAAAAGTGCATATCTCACAAATAAAAGAAAAAAAACTGTGTTTTGTTAGAGAAATTAATAGCTGGGAAACAATATTTAATAGATCAACCCAAATTCTAGCATGTGCAGACGACGTGGACATTATAACAAGAATTAGGACGAGAACTGCGGAAATCCTAATCGAGCTAGTAGCAGCAGCAGAACGAATGGGGTTACATATAAATCAAAATAAAACCAAATTCATGGCGACTAACACAAACACAAGAGCTGGAAATGTTGACGCAGATTTAATCATCAATGACCAAAACTTCGAAGCAGTCAAAGAGTTCATATATCTAGGGACATCGGTTAACCCCAATATTAACACATCTAAGGAAATAAAACGGCGAATAATAATTGCAAACAGGTGTTATCATGATCTATCAAAGCACTTAGCTAACAAACGTCTGTCTCAAAAAACTCGTATAAGGCTGTATAGAACACTGATAGTCCCCGTTTCACATATGGATCAGAGACATCGACGCTAACTAAAACAGATGAATCCGCCCTATCGATTTTTGAAAGAAAGTCGTAGATATAACTACGCCTACGGAAGGAAAGAAAGAAATATGGGGGCGTAGACTTTGAACTGCAGAATATATACAAGCATACGTTTGTTGTTTCAATTTCCACTTCGGAAATCGTTCTCAAAGTACAAACATTAGTAAATAATAAATTTACGTTTGGTGGTAAAGATATTACCATTATAATTAAGCGAAACCGCCTGCAGTGGGCAGGACATGTAGCCCGGGCCCCTAAATCGAACATGATAAAAAAATATTCTAACAGCGCAACCCGTGGGAATGAGAATGCGGGGTCGACCAAAGCTGAGATGGATGGACGGGGTAACACAAGGTGCCGAGAGGATCGGAGTCGGCAACTGGAAAATGCAAGCAAGGGACAGAACAGAATGGCATAGAAAGCTTGAAAAAGTCGAGGCCCTCTAAGGGCTGTAGCACCAAGATGATGATGATTGTTGGAGAAATTAAAAAAAAATGATAGGTACTGAAAAGATCTTGTTAAGTCATGACTCACTACATAATCTAAATAACCTTATAAAATCTACAACTGAAATTAAAAATAAATAATAATAATAATAAATAAGGTTAAGTAAAGATATGAAATTTAAAAAAAGTCTAAAAAACGAGAAGACAAGAAATGTGATATTGATAGAAATTATATTAACTGCTATTGCACTTTAAAACCAAATAAGGCACCAGCTTGGTTTACCATTATAAACCGTTTGAACCTGCCTTGCTCCATTATTATTATTTCAGATTTAATATATATAACTCACACTCCCTCTAAGGAAACAATATATCATCTCGGATACCTGTTATCAAAAGTATTTGGTTCGTGGAGAGGTCTTTCAGTGTTATGAAGCCCTAGGTGACCTGGTATGCCGGAGTATCTTAAAAAAAAATTCTTACACGCATTTGAATGTCACATTAGATTTAAAAACATCATAAGTCCTCTTCCTCCTAGATACCGCGGGAATGTTATTTTCACTGCACTGTATCTAATTAATGGTTTATATATATTTTTTTGTTAGGCAGATGTACCTTTAAAATCGCCCAACTATACAAAGTCTTGTATACTTGGGCGTGAAAGTATAGCAGATTACTAATATAACAATTACGCACATTAGTAAAAACACATATTATTATAGAAAATGCTATCAGAGATACTTTATATTATACTGTATAATGTAGGAAAACAGTTGTTACGTTCCATTTTTTCATCTCTTAATCTAACAGATTTTTAAGCTGGTGTTTGGATGTAAAACTACTTTTGTATTACTGATTATATTTTAAGTAGAAAATTTCTATTGAATAAGAATATTTTTGTTTGAGTAATTTTTATATTGTGATGCCTAAGATGCATGTTGTTATTGAACTGTTAGATATCCAGTTAATAGACATAATAGCTATTTGGTATTTTAAATATTCAATTAGGTCACCTCTTCTGCCGTCCTCAATTAAAACGCGGTATCTGCAAAAAAATTGAAAATCGAGTTTTTGCTATATGTGGATTCCTTGTGACCTTATTTATGCTTCTGCAATGTCTAAAAGCCGTACCTATTATTGTATTTACTAGCAAAATAAAGAAATTGGCATATGCCGTATGTGCCAAATTTCAATTGTCGCGTTTTAATTGAGTACAGCGCATTTACCGCGTTTTAATCGAGACTCGTGTTGCAAAAATCTCATATTTGTTCTTTCGTATGTGCATTGCATTTAAGAACGGTTGATTTCTTAAATTTTGGCATTGTTTGGCATCTTGTTTTGTGGTATTTTGTGTTAGTTTTTATAGTCGAGGTTCTTTGCGGTTGTTTTATGAGATTTGATTACTCAAAAGATATATTATCTATGGCTTTGGAGAAAAGTGGAGACATAGCTTTACAAGAGGATATGTTTGACGCAAATCTGTAAGTAAAATCACAGATAGTTAAAATTTTCTATGTTTATTGCGATTGCTTAACTCAGCTAGAATATTTATTATAATTAAATATGCGCTTAGTTAGCTAAAAGTTAATCAAGAATTTTTTTGGTACTGATTTCGAATAAAAATTTCAAATAAATTTATCGAATTTGGTAAATGGATTAACTGATTTTATTAAGTTTGATTAATTTTATTAAATTTGTTAATTGGGGGTAATATAGTATGTACCATGGACGTAATTTATACGTCCATGGTATGTACATATTATATGAAATAGTTTTAGAGCCGAATTTAGTAGTTAACATAAATGTAAACAATTTAAATAAAAAATCTATTTAAGTGTGATATACTTTCAATTATTTTGTAGTGCTACTTTATAATTCACTGCTACAAACAAGGATGATCTAGGAAGTAACTGTGCAGACTACATGTTGCAAGAATTACAGCCATTGAATTTATCATCAGAAAATGTACATCAAGGTTTTCAAAAGATTGAGGCATCTTGTACTGTATCAAACGATAAGGTTTTAAGTTGGCTGTAGATACCGCGTTTTATTTGAGGACGGCAGTCTTGTTCTTCTATCTTTTGAAAGTGATAAGGTTGAGCTATTTGATATCATTTTATACATCATCAACCTGTATGCATTTACTGCTTGACATAGTTCTCCCTCAGCTCTTTCCATCTGTCTCTATCTTGTGCAACTTGCATCCAGTTATTACTAATACCCTTCAGTAGTCAGTCCATCTAGTTGGTGGGCGTCCTCTGCTCTGTATTGCTTCTTGCCTTGGTCTCCACTCTAAAATACATTTCATCAATCGGTTGTCTGATAATTTGGCGACTTGGCATATGGGTAGATCCAATTTAAATACATAGTTACAGATCATATTACCATAGAGACAGAGCCGGCATTACAGTTACATTGGCTCTGTCTCCTGCTGGAGTGCAGGACAATTTTTTTTTTCTCTGTCACATAGACTGAGACGGCAGGCAATGTATTAATTTACCAAAATTTGCATTATTTTATACATTTGTTGAAAATTTGCTGTCATGGAACACAAGGCCTTGATTTTACAGTTGCCAATTTATTTTATCTTTCAATAAATAAACAGATAAGTTTAGAGCCACATAATAACTATATTCTATCCAACATATATAAAATTGGAATTCTTTATATACCCGGTATTTAGGCGGCACACGCCCTTCTAGTAGGGATCTATGGAGGAGTATCACCGAGGCACAAGCCCTTATCTCTTGCCATACTGCTCCACCATAGGCCGATCAGATACCAGCATATTCTAGACTAAGCCGCAGATTCATTTAGAATTTTAAACTCCTGCGTTAGCCGTTTTGTTTTCTGTACACCGAGCTGGGGATTGAACTGATATCTCCAGTGAAGCGAAGGAGAAGCCAGCCGCCCAGCCCGCTTGGCTATTCGATCAACTTGGAATGAAATTGGAATTCTTAACTCTCCTATTTGTGAAGATGTATCCATTGGTAATCTAAACTGTATATTCCTATAATGTTCTCTAAACTCTGAATTCTCTTCAAGCTTGAATCTTGATGTGTCTAAAAACTAATTCATAATGAGGTTTCATTGCTGCTAAATAGTACAGCTGTTTTTACTGTCTTTTTCAAACAATGGGTACTTGATTCCATTATTAATTTTATGAAAAATGTGAAAAGTTGAAGAAATTAAATAATTCCTGTTTTGTGGCAAAGAGTTTGTCTAATGCCATGATTTTTCTCCTTCAAACACAATAATAGTATATTTTATTTACATTGACATAACATTACATACATTAATGCAACTTAACATCACAGCTATTTTCTATTTTAATCCTGCAGCACTGAAAAGGGTTAACAAAACTAAATTTATACAAT